GGATATAATGTCCCTGTGTTCAATTCCTAGTACCCTCCCCCCACAAAAAGAGGGGGTGGGTTTGGACACAGACAGATGGGCATAAAGGATGGATGATGTGAAGCCACATAGGGAAAAGGTGGTGTGAAGATTGAGGATATGCTGCCACAAGTCAAGGAATACCTCTGGCTACCAGAAGCTGGAAAAGACAAGGGGAGAGCTGAGCATGGTGGCGTACACCTGTAATCCCAGTGACTCGGGAGGCTGAGGGAGGAGGATTGCAAGTTCAACTCCAGCCTCAGCAATTCAGTGAGGCCCTAAGCAACTCAGCGAGAACTTGTCTCTAAATAGAATATTAAAAAGGGCTGGGAATATGGCTCAGTGGTAAAGCACCCCTGGGTTCAATCCCCAGTACAGGGAAAAAAAAAAAAAAAAAAGGACAACCCTTCCCCTGTAGGTTTCAGAGGGAGTGCAGCCCTACTGACACCTTGATCTTGGACATACAGCCGCCAGAGCCGTGAGACATGTTTCTGTTTTTCTAAGCCCCCCACCCCAAGGTGTGATTCTTTATGATAGCAGCCCTAGGAAACTAATGCAGAATGTCAGATCAACACCCAAAATTATCTGCCACTTTAAGGAGCATAGAAACAGCAGCAAATTGCAAATTACGCACAGGGATGAATTTTAGGACAGAAAACAGTCATTTTTCAGTCCCTCTTGTGGAAAGGCCCTTTTCTATTGGCAGCAAGCTCTTCTTGAAAGACTGTGGACCCAGAACCAGGGTCTATGGGTTAAGGAACCAGGCTCTATCTCTATGAAATCATGTGATCTTTGGCCAGTAATTTGGGTTCTGGCTACCTCAGTTTTCTTTCTTTTTTTTTTAATCTTTATTTTATTTAGTATTTTCTTGTGGTGCTGAGGATTGAACGCAGTGCCTCACACATACTAAACAAGCACTCTACCACTGAGCTATAGCCCCAGCCCACTTCTTTTTTTTTTAACATTTATTTTTTAGTTGTAAATAGACACAATACCTTTATTTTATTTATTTATTTTTATGTGGTGCTGAGGATCAAACCCAGGGCCTTGCATGTGCTAGGTGAGTGCTCTACCCCTGAGCCACAACCCCAGCCCCTCATCTCAGTTTTCTTAACTATGAAATAAGTATAATAACCTCCTTGATCTTTAGAATTAAATGAAAATGCATGTGTATTAAAATGAGCACTCAGTAAAAAACAGTTCAATAAATGTGTGCTTTAGGCTTTGCTACTTGCAATCATTTCCTATCCCCCTCCTTTTTTTGGGGGAAGGGATGCTAGGGATTGAACCCAGGACTTTGAATACTAAGCACACACTACCACTAAGCTATAACTCCAGCCAATATTCTCTGCTTTTGAAGAGATGATGAAATGGAGACCCAAAGATGGTAAAAATTTTTGAAGGTCACATAGCACTTTGGACGTAGAAGAGCTCAACAAATAATTACTATTTACGAAGGGCTTTTAAATTTGTCCTATTAGTCACTATTTTTCCTGTTTTCACAGGTGATGTAATTGAGGCTCAGAGAATCTAAGTCGCCTAAGGTCTCAGAGAAATAGAAATCTCACCTCAGGCCTGTCTCCCTCTAATACCACAAATAATATCTTGGAAAGACTCAAAAGATTTGCAATTCTGGACCTGAAGGGAATAGGATAATTATAGTAGTCTTCCCTTATTTGCAAGAGATGCATTGCAAGATCCCCATTGATGTCTGAAACCACAGATAGTACTGAATCACACACACACACACACACACACACACACACAACACACACACACACACACACTTTTTTTGGGGGGGTACTGAGGATTGAACCCAGGGGTGCTTAACCCTGAGCCATATCCTTAGCCCTTTTTAATATTTTATTTAGAGACAGGATCCTGCTGAGTAGCTAAGTGCCTCACTAAGTTGTCGAGGCTGGCTTTGAACTTGCAATCTTCCTGCCTCAGCCTCCCAAGTCACTGGATTACAGGCATGCACCACCCTGCCCAGCTGAACCATATATATATATATATGTGTGTGTGTGTATACATACACATACACACATAAACATATACACATATGCATATATATACATATACACACATATATATAGCCCTATTTTTTCCATATGTACATGCCTATAATAAAGTTTAATTTATAAATTAGTTATAATAAGAGATTAACAACAATAACTAATAATAATATAGAGCAATTTCACAGATGGATAAATTAGTCTTACCTGGCATCTTAGCAACTTCATCATGTAATTTACTTTCTGTCATTAAGTTGAGAATTTTCACCTTTTCACTTAAAGGAAGTACTTTATGGATTCTCTCTCTCTCTCTCTCTCTCTCTCTCTCTCTCTCTCTTTTTCTTTAGATGAGAAAAATATTATTTGGTCTCATGGTTTCAGAAATCTCAGTCCATAGACTGCCCAAGGTGTGGCAGAATGTCATAGCAGAAGAGTGTGGTGAAGGAAAGTGGCTCAGGATGTGGCCATCTGGAAGCAGAGAGACAGCTCTGTTCAGCAAGGACAAAATATTGGATTCTCTTGGGTACATCTGAATTGCCAGCATCACTACTCTTGAGCTTTGGGGCCATTATTAAGTAAAATTGGGATTACTTAAACACAAGCATTGTGTCTAATAACTGAGATGGCAACTAAGTGATTAACAGGCTTATTCAGCAATAAACTGGACAAAGGGGTGAGTCCCTCCCAGGCAAGATAGGACAGGACAGGGCAGGATCTCATTATACTGTTCACAACATTGCAATTTAAAATGTGTGGTTTATTTCTGGAATTTTCCATTTAATATTTTCAAATGGCAGCTGGCTGAGGAACTGTAGTTTTTCTACCATTGTTCTGGGGTGTCTCACTATTATTTCACATAGGAGTTATTGCCTGCAACTTGCTTTCATTCAAACTCAGTGCCCTAGGGGTGGCACTTTGGATGAGCATCCTGGCCTTGCATAGATCTCCTGGGCCAGGTGATGTTTAATGAGTCAGGTCACCTCCCTGAGACACAGGCTGCAGGTAGGCAAGGACTTCTTAGTTTACTTGGCTTCAATCTTCACCACATTCTGGAAACAGTGTAGGGCAGCTTACAAAAATATATCCAGAATATCAGTTGAATCATGAGCAAACATAAGACAGACCCACACTGAGAGATGCTTGGCCAAATATCCTCTTCAAACAAGTGTCAAGGTCATGAAAAATAAGCAAAGACTGAGGAACAATTATAGGCTGCAGACTAAGGAGAAATGAATGCTATGTGGGATCCTGGATGGGATCCAGGAATAGAAAAAAGATGGTAATGGAAAAGTTCTTGAAATTTCAGTCAGGTCTTCAGTTAATGGTAATGTTTCATGTCATTTGCTTGCTTTTTTTCTTCTTTTTCAGTATCAGGGATGGAACCCCACACCTTGCACATGCTAGGCAAGCAGTCTACCACTGACTAAATCCCCAATCTTTTTAATTTTGGGGAGGGGGGTACTGGGAATTGAACTCAGGGATGCTTAACCACTGAGCCAAAGTGGTTATCACCAGCCCCTTTTTGCATTTTTTTATTTTGAGATAGTGTTTTGTTAAGTTGCTCAGAGCCTCGCTAAATTGCTAAGGCTGGCTTTGAACTTTAGATCCTCCTGCCTCAGCCTCCCACATCACAGCTTGTGCCATTACTGCACCCAGCTTCAGTTTTCTATTGCTGTGTAACAAATTGCTACAAATATAGTGGTTTAAAACAACATGTATTTATTATCTCACAGTATCCATGGGTCTGGAGTTCAGGTCCAGGCTTAGTTCAGCATGTTTTTCGGCTCAGAGTTTCACGAAGTTGCAGTCAAGGTATCAGCCATACTGTAGTTCTCATCTGCTTATTGACATTTGAGCTGCCTCTGGTTGCGGGACTGAGATCCCTTCTTTTTTTAGCTGTTGACCAGGGACCATTCTTGATACCCAGAGGCCACAGAGTTCCTTGTTATGTGATAGGTGATTTACAAGCAGATAGAAGTGCATGCCCCTGCCCCAATCCCCCCCTGCTTTTATTTCTGGGGGGGGGGTACAGGAGGAGATTGAACTCAGAGGCACTCAATCACTGAGTCACATCCCCAGCCCTTTTTATTTTTTGAGACAGGGTCTCTCTAAATTGCTTAGGGCTTCACTACATTGCTGAGGCTGGCCTTAAGCTTTCCATCTTCCTGCCTCAGCCTCTTGAGTTGCTGGGACTACAGGCATGCACCACCAAGCTGGGCAGGAGTGCAACTCTCTGACTTCTTCCATTCCCATTTCTGGACTTTCTTTAAGAGCTCACCTGAGGGCTGGGGATGTGGCTCAAGTGGTAGCATGCTTGCCTGGCATGCGTGTGGCCCAGGTTCGATCCTCAGCACCACATACAAAGATGTTGTGTCCGCCGAAAACTAAAAAAAAAAAAAAAAAAATACTAAAAAGTTCTCTCTCTCTCTCTTTAAAAAAAAAAAAAAGATACAGACCACATTGGGCATGGTGGTAAATGCATGTAATCCAAGTGATTACTCGGCTTTAAAAAAAAAAAAAAAAAAAAAGAGCTCACCTGATTAGGTCTGTCCCACCTAGGCTAGGCCTTTTCTGTTAATTCAACAAATTAAGCATTATATCTACAAAAATCCCTTTTGTCATATAAAGTAACATAATCACAAGAAGTATCCTCTCATATTTATAGGTCTTGCCCCTTCTCAAGATAGTGGATTATAGCTGGGTATGGTGGTACAATCCTGTAATCCCAGAGGCTAGGGAGGCTGAGGCAGGAGAATATCAAGTTCAAAGGTAGCTTCAGCAAATTAGTGAGATTCTATCTCTAAATAAAATATTAAAAGGGGCTGGGGATGTGGCTTAGTGGTTGAGTGCTCCAGGGTTCAATCCCCAGTACCAAAAAAAAAAAAAAAAGATAGTGGATTATACAAGGCTGTGAATCATTGCTAATAATTTTAGAGTAATATAGTTTTCAATTTCTTCTTATTTTTTTGTTGCTAGTCATGGAACCCACAAATGCTGAGTCTGTACTCTACCTCTGAGTTACACCCCCAGCCTAATATCTTTATTTTTAAAAAATAATTTATTTATTTATTAAATTTTTTAGTTGTAGATGAACACAACACCTCTATTTTATTTATTTTTATTTGATGCTGAGGATTGAACCCAGTGCCTCACACATGCTGGGCAGGTGCTCTACCACTGAGCTACAACAACAGCCCTCTGTATCTTTTTTATAATGCATGTGGATTACTTTAACCTTTATTTATTTATTTTTTGTGTGGTGCTGAGGAATGAACCCAGGGCCTCGAACGTGCTAGGCAAGCGCTCTGCCACTGAGCCACAGCCCCAGACCTGGATTAGATGAAAGATAGAAGTGCTGGTGCATAAAGTCTTTTTTTCTCATGAGTCTCCACTGAAAGGAGGCTGAATGAAATTGTCAGCTAAATCTCTACTATAAAGACAGTCAGAGCTCCTTGGGGCTGTTACTTACGACAGTTGTGGTACAGGATGCTGGCTTCATGCCAATGTGTAGTGAAAGTAATTCTGAAAGTAGCCAGAAATGAAAGAATGTAAGGGCAGTTTTTGGCAGAGGAATCACAATCTAAAATTCACTCATGGCATTTGTATGATGAGTTGATTTAATCTGGGTGCTACATTTGGATCTTCAATGTCCTCCCAAGGCCCTTATGCTAAAGGCTTAGTCCCTGCGCTAGGGGAGTATGAAGCGGTGGAGTACTTGTCTGGATTTGACCCCAGCACTGCAAAAACAAAACGAAACCAACAACAAAGAAACATACAAAGGCTTAGTCTCCAGCCTGAAGCATTTGGAAAGTAGTGGAACTGTTTAATAGGTAGGGCCTAACGGGAAGTCTTCTGGTCATTAGGAACATGCCTTTGAAGAGGGCAATGGGACCCCCTCATTCCTCCTCTATCTTCTCTTACATCCTGGTCATAAGGCGAATAGCTTTACTCCACTACATTCTCTCTGCCCTAATTTATCAGAAATTGATTACCTATGGTATTTTGTTACAGTAACAGAAAACTTAATAACACACTGGAGTTCATAGACATGCTTTGGATGGGTCTTTCCAAGAACCCCTAAAACACGCAAAATTGTTTATATATATGTACTCCCTTGAGGAGTGAGGTACTTTGGTTCCATTGTTTCTGACTCTAAAAGATGGAAGAATTCTTGCTCTGTAGCAGGGTTTTGTTTTACTTTGGCTTTATTGTCACTTTGATCTGGATAGGTCTTTGTTGTTTGTGTGGGGGTGTCATGCGCATTTTAGGTTGTTTAATGGCACATCTAGCTTTCATCTGTAGAAGGCAGGAACATCCAGTTGTGACCATCAAAACAGTCTTTAGACATGGCCAAATGTCACCTATGGGACAGAGATCACCTTTGAGAATCCCTGAGCTTCTGAAGATTGGAGGAACAAAATGTAAATCAGGTGAGATATGGATTAAACTAGTCCTAGATACAAACTGCGACATAACTATAATCATAATTTACCCAAATTACAATTTTGGGTAAATGACTTTATTTCAGCCTTATCTAGTTTCTTGACATATAAACTGATAATATCCAAAAATCATCCCCTGCTACACCCCAGCACTAGTGATGGAACTCAGGATCTCACATGTTAGGCAAGCACTCTGCTACTGAGCTAAATCCTAACCTGTTTTGTTTTTATTTTGAGACAAGGTCTAAGTTGCCCAGGCTATCCTCAAACTTTAAATCCTCCTGTCTCATCCTCCACAGCAGTAGCTCAACTAGGTGTGTCAGTAAGGGATTTCTGGGTAACTGGGATTACAGATGTGCACCATCATGCCAATAGGATTTTTAAAGCATGCAGAACACTTCACTTTTTTTTTTTTTTTTTTGGTACCAGGGATTGAACTCAAGGGTGCTTAACCACTGAGCCACAGCCTCAGCCCTTTTTTTTTTTTTTTTTTTTGAGACAGGTCTTGGTAAGTTGCTCAGGGCCTTGCTAAATTGCTGATGCTGGCTTTGAATCTGTGATCTTCCTGCTTTAGCCTCCCGAGCCGCTGGGATTATAGGCGTGCTCTATCATGCCTAGCTACTTCACAGGGTTTTGTATGGTAAGCAATTATATAGGATCACTATTAATATTGTCCAGACCACAGCTGAGACTGTAAACATTTCCTCACATCTTTCCCTCATTCATGCCAGAGATATTTATTATGTGGTATCTGTGTGTATCAGATTTTGATGTGCTCAACCTGAATTATTCATGAGAAGGATCACTTGAGCCTAGGAGTTCAAAGGCAGCCTGGGCCGCATAATGAGAGCCTGTCAAAAAAAAAAAAATCAACACACATACATAAAATAAATAAGTAACTCCCCACCCCCACAATTATTCTTCAATCTCAACCTGGTAACTATTATGTATTTTTTTATTCTTTGTAAAGAGAATTTTAAATATCAATATGATTTTTCATCATATCTATTTTTATTTTTGGCCCTCCTTTATGAGATCCAGAACCTTCCTGGATATCCTCCAGGAATTTTAAATTGGGTATGTTTTGCCAATTAGCTCAGCAACTAGCACTTAGTCTTCTATAAAAATGAGTGGTTACTGGTCACTGATGTTTCTTAGCCCCTGCTGTTTGATCCACTTTTTTTTTTTTTTTTTGCTGCTCCTCAGTGGTTTCTCAAATTCACTTATTTTCTGACAGCCTCCTTGGCCCTGGGTTAAAAGACCTGATTTTTCTTCCCCGTGGGGAGCCCAGAGGAGAATCCAGCCTGGTTCTCCTACCTGCAGGGAAAAATTGAAGGCATGAAAATGAAGACACTCCTACACCAAGCCCATAGTTCCCTGAGCAGTTTGGTGGCAGGAATTTGCTAGTGGTATGAAGGACATAAAGTTTTGCAATAGCAGCCTCCATTGGGTATGCCAGTAAATGATTCCTGGGGTCCTGGCTGGTGCTTCCTGGCACTGCGGGGGTGCAAAGGAACAAAATTTATGCTATTAGCACAGTTATAACACTGTGTCTGTTGAATATTTCAGAACTGAGGTACACGGTGTCTTAAAGCTGCAGATGGAAGAATTTAGAAGCCTCAATCAGGGCAGCACAGTGGGTAATATCAGCAGGCTCTGGTGGGGTAGACCTGGGTTTGAACCCTAACTTTGCCTCCTATTCTAGGTGATAGTCTGCAAGAGACTCTATTATGCTGAGCCTCAATTTCTTCATCTATAGAGTAAGGGTGATGCTACCACAACTAACACTTCTGGAGTGTTACTATTCAGTCAGAACACATGCAAGTTGTCTCTGTTCCACCACTAAAAGCTGTTTTAAAATTGAATTAAAGCTGAGTCTAGTGGTGCAAGGATGTAATCTCAGCTACTCAGGAAACTGAGGCAGAAGGATCACTTGAGCCAAGGAGTTCTGAGTTAGCCTGGAAAACAGCAAGATTCTATCTAAAAATTAAAAAACAATTTAAAAAAAATATAGAAAAGCATACCCTTCTTATTCACATTATATCCCTTGATGACGTTAAAAAACACACCTGCACATGGTTAAAAACAAATCATACAGGGTGTAACATGAAATACACTTTTTTTTTTAAACCAGGAATTGAACCCAGAAGTGCTTAACCATTGAGCCACATCCCCAGCCCCCCTTCCCACCCACCCCCCCCTTTTTTTGAGACAGGGTCTCACTATGTTATCTAGGGCCTCGCTAAATTGCGAGGCTGGCTTTGAACTTGCGATCCTCATGATATATATTTTCATTCCCCACCCCTACTTTTTTTTTTTTTTAAACTGGGAATTGAACTCAGGGGGCTTTATCTACATCCCCAGCCCTTTTTATTTGTTTTATTTATTTTTGAGATGGAGTCTCAATAAGTTGTTCGGGTTTGCGTTTAGTTGCTGAGTCTGGCTTCGAATTTGAGAAACTCCTGACTCCTGTAATCCCAGCCTCCTCCAGAGCGGCCGGGATTACAGGTGTGCGCCACCCGGCCAGCCTTCCCACCCTTTTTGTTCTACAAACAGAGCGATTTAATAGAATTCAACCTAGTATGTGCCAGTTACTGCTCTAAGGCTTTATATGTAACTAAACACTCTGAAATTCTTCATCTACTCCATGAAGTAGATACAGTCATTACTCCCCTTTGGCAACTGTAATTCTTTTACAGAGAAGCAGAAGGATCAGGCAGGAAAGGGCAGGCAACCTACTAGGCCTCCAGAAGGGTTGTAAAAGTTTGACAAACATAGAAGTGAGTAAGTCGTTAAGTGCTACATAGAAATATTCGCCGGGTGTCCGAAACGCGCTCCCTTGGGGCGCCGCTTACGGCGCGTACTTTGTTGGACCGCAGTATCTCTTTGATCTGGGAGCGACTCATTCCAGAGCCGCAGGGACTAGTCTCTACCAGGGTTCCCGGGAAAGGCGCGCTGCGTTCCGCCGTCTCAACCAGTCTTGCTAGAGTAGGCGGGCCCTCTAGGAACAAAAGCGTTCGGAGTGACTGCTGCTGTAGCCACTCAACGCCGAGCACAGGTCGGCGCATCCCGGCAGAGTTAAACTTCCAATTGGTGGAGTCGCCCTAAAAGAGGCGGGACGAAGTTAAAGTCCTGTTTTCTTTGGAGTTCTCAACCAATCAAGGCGTCTGGGAAAGAACTGATAAGTTAGGTTGAGACGTGTGTAGCGTTCGGGGAGGCCTGAGGGCGGGGCGGGGAGCAGGCTGGAAGCTGCGGGCAGGGTACGCTTCCCGCGGGCGCGCGGAGCGAGGACGGTGACAGCCACGCGCGCGCGTGCGTGCCCTGCTGTGGCGCGGCCCCGCGACCCCCGTCGGCAGCCCAGAGGCGCGCCGGGTCTGGGCGGCCGCTGTCTAGGATTCTTGTTCCCGGGCGTGCCCGGCGTCCCCGACCCCAGTCTCGGAGTGTCGGGCCTCGCCCGCCCCGTCGGCTCCTGCTAGCGTCTGCCCCTTGCCACCGTCAGGGCCTGCCCCCCAACTCCCCTTTTTCGCTCCGGGGGCAGGGTCCTCGCGGCCCATGCTGGCCGCTGGGGACCCACGCAACCCAGCTCGCTCTTGGGCCGGCCAGCCGGCCACCATGGTGGCCCTGAGGCCTGTGCAACTCCTCCAGGGGGGCTAACAGGTCCAGAGCACAGGCTTTGGGGCGCGAGGGTCCCAGGTCTGAGCCCCGAGCCATGGCCGGGGCCATCGCTTCCCGCATGAGCTTCAGCTCGCTCAAGAGGAAGCAGCCCAAGACGTTCACAGTGCGGATCGTCACCATGGACGCCGAGATGGAGTTCAATTGCGAGGTAACTGGCCAGTAGCCCCGACGGGCTGAGGCGAAGGGAGCCCCGCTGAGTCCCCGCATCCGGCACCTACTGGGGAGCCCGGGTCGCGGTGACAGTCGAGATGGAAGCTTGAGGGATTCTGTTTTATTCTCCTCTGGGCATTGATAGAGACCGTGAGAACCGGAAGGGGCCATACAGGCCCAAATCCACAAGTTAAAGCTAATTACTGCTTTTTCGCTTGGGGCTCTTTCGCTTGGGGTTTAGCATTTCTAAGGGTTATTTTCATTCATTGTTATTGGTGGAGGCTGGAAGCTTCCGTGGTAGAGAATTCTGGTTTACAGTGTCAGGTTTAAACTTAAACTCAAGGGAGTTGTCCCCCACCCCAGGTAATGTTATAGGTCCCAGGTATTAAAAGTTAAATCTTCGTTATTGGAAAGTCTATACTTGTTCCCTTTTCCAAACTGGAAAAGATAATTTTTTTTTTTTTTTTGTATTGGAAACTTAACCTGGGGCGCTTTACTACTGAGCTACATCCCCAGCTTTTTTTTTTTTTTTTTTTTTAAATTGAAACAAGGTATCACTAAGTTACTTAGGGCCTCACTAAATTGCTGAGGCTGGTCTTGAATTTGTAATCATCCTGCCTCAGACTATTTAGCCTGGGACTACCGTTGGGCAAAACCAGCAAACAAACAAAAAGCTCAAAAAGCTCTTTAAGAGAGAGTACCTAATACTTTCCATACAGTGTCCAGCCTGATATAACAATTATCACTTTGTTGAAGTGTCAGGTACTCACTTTTTTTTTTTTTTTTTTGTACTGGAGATTAAACCCAAGGGCTTAACCACTGAATCACATGTCACATGCCCAGCCCTTTTTATTTTTTAATTTTGAGATAGGATGTAGCTAGGTTGCTTAGGGCCTTGCTAAATTGCTGAGGTTAGCTTTGAATTTGCCATCCTCCTGCCTCAGCCTCCTGAATTGCTGGGATTATGGGTGTTCGCCACCGCTGACATTCATACTTTAACCTTCACAATAACTCAGTGAGGCAGGTACCTGTAACATTGTAGAATATGTATTTGGTCTGATTTCCTGGCATACCACAACTAAAATCTTTGGAATCTCTGAAGTGATAAGTGGCTTTTTGTATGGTAATGAATTGACTAGGTAGCTCCTATCTTGATGGGAGCTGATCACAAGAAAGACCAAGAAACCATTAGAGGGTTGGAGTTTTTCAGCTCCACCTAACCTGGAGGAGGGGAGAGGGGCTAAAGGTATTTGGCTAAAGATGTAATTAATCATTCTTGTGTAATGAAGCCTCCATAACCCCCCAAAAGAACAGGATGTATAGAGCTTCCAAATCTTCAGCTTCCAGCTGAAGCTGCAAGGGGTTCCTAGGAGGTGGTGTCCTACCTAGGAAAGGGCATGGAAGCTCTGTGCCTCTTCCCACATGTCTTGTGTTTTTTCATCTGTTGCCCTTACAATATCCTTTTTAATAAATAGGTACACATAAATGTTTCCCAGAGATTGGTGAAGTACACCCCAAAGAGAGGTGGTGTGAACTCTGATTTATATCTTATTGGTCTGAAGCACAGGTAAAACATCCTGGGGCCGGGAGCAGTGGTGAACACCTGTAATCCCAGCATCTCAGGAGGCTGAGGCAGAAGGATCACGAGTTCAAAGCCAGTCTTAGCAAAAGCGAGGCGCTAAGCAACTCAGTGAGACTGTCTCTAAATAAAATACAAAATAGGGCAGGGATGTGGCTCAGTTGTTGAGTGTCCTTGAGTTCAATCCCCAGTACCAAAAACAAACAAAAAAATTCAGGGGCAAGTGATTGGCTACTATGGGAGAGACAGTCTGTGGGACTGAGACCTCAACCTATGGGATCTGAATTGCCTCTAGATTGAGTTCTCTAGGTGGCCATATCAGGATCGATTTGAATTAGAGGACATCCAGCTGGTGTCTGCTGCAGAAAAGAATTGACTAATTGATTAGTTACTCGTGAGGGAAATCCCCACAAACACACACCACCTCCCCCCCCCCCCCCCTCTCTCTCTCTCTCTCTCTCTCTCTCTCTCTCTCTCTCTCTCGTACTGGGGATTAAATCCAGGGGCACTTAACCATTAAGCTACATCCACAGGCCTTTTTATTTTTTATATTGAGACAGGGCCTTACTCAGTTGCTGAGGCTGGCCTCAAACTTGTGCTTCTCCTGTCTTAGACTCCTGAGTCACTGGGATTACAGATGTGCACCACCATGCCTGGCTCTTACATACTTCTTGGTGATCAGAGGTCACATAAATCTTCTGTGTTGATTGTTTGGGGCATAGAAAAAATGCTGGTATTTTGCCTGTATCTACCAAATACCACAAAGATTTTTTTTTTTTTTTTTTTTTTTGGTACCAGAGCTTGCACCCAGGGGTGCTTAACCACTGAGCCATATTCCCAGCCCATTTTTTATATTTGATTTTGAGACAGGGTTTCTCTGAACCTCACTAAGCTACTGAGGCTGGCTTTGAACTCCCAATCCTCCTGCCTCATCCTGTGAGAGGCTGGGATTACAGGTGTGCACAACTGTGCCTGGTACATTTTGGACTAAGTAATTTGAGTCTTTACTACTCAGTTTGGTTCATGGATCAGTAGCATTGGCAACAGTAACTTAAGTCAGGAGTTGGCAGACTTTTTCCGTATAGTAGGGCCACATAGTCAAGCTTCTCAACTTTGCAGGCCATAGGATTTCTGCTGGATTTACTCAGCTCTTCAATTCTGTTGTTATACACAAAAGCAGCCTTAGACCTGATTGGAATTCCAGCATGATGGTGTTAAGGAGCGCCATTGACCCATTTTCTTGCAAAACTGGTGAAAATTATTAACAACTATTTAAACCCTTTGGAAATGTCCAAAGGTAAAACAGCAAATGGTGATATATTTATTCAAGAAAAAAGTATGAAAATTTGGTAAGAAAGGTGAGAGGCAGTGGTGTTTGGACCAAGATTACTCTTTTCTTAGAACTTCACTGTTTCTCATCTTAACCAGACCTATTTGTTGCTGAGGCTAAGTCCTGGGTGATTGCATCTCAGAGATGGGGCTCCCTTCTTCCACTTAGTCCCTATTTGTGGAACAGGGCTTGGCATACTGAAATAACTTCAGCCTTAACTGCTTTTGTCTCCATCCTGGATTATGAGGGGGTGGTTCCACAGCAGGATAGGCAAGCTGAGACCTTGAGCTAGTGTGTCCCCACCTGTCCCCTTCCATGAAGTACTTTGTCCTAGAGTCAGGAATATCACTCACAGAGAAGCTTGCCATGGGCCCCTTCCCCATCCCCAGATCCCTGGCTCAGGGATTTTGGCTGAGAGTAGAAGCTGGCCTTAAAACAGAGCTCCTGGTTGGGGTATAGCTTAGTGGTAGAGTGCCTGCAGGGAGCCTTGGGTCCAGTCCCTAGCACCAAAACCAAACCAAACCAACCAACCAACCAAAAACCCAAAGGAAGTAACTTCATCTGCAAAGCAGTGTGGAACAGTTTATACACACTTGAAAATAGTGGGAAAATTTGAAGTTCTGCAAGCATCACAGGTTGGGCAGACAGGGCAGTGGGTGTAGGTGAATGTCTGGGTGGCAAATGGTGGGTGGCAAGTGGAAAAAATGCAGCGCAATTCACAACAGCTAAACTGTGGAACCAACCTAGATGCCCTTCATCAGATGAATGGATAAAGAAAATGTGATATATATATATATATATATATATATATATATATATGAATGAATGATGGAATATTACTCAGCCTGAAAGAAGAATGAAATTATGGCATTTGCAGGTAAATGGATGGAACTATAGAATATCATGCTGAGTGAAATAAGCCACTCCCCCAAAATCAAAAGCCGAATGTTTTCTCTGATAAGCGGATACTGATCCATAGTGGGGCTGGGGGATAAAAGAATGAAGGAATTATGGTTTGTGCAGAGGGGAGGAGCTGTGGGATAGGAGGATGGTAGAATGAGACAGACATTATTACCCTATATACATATGTGATTACACTACTGGAGTGACTCTGCACCATGTACAGCCAGAAGAATGAGAAGTTGTGTTCCATTTGTGTACAATATGTCAAAATGCATTTCACTGTCATGCATAACTAACTAATTAGAACAAATAAAAAAATTAGAAGTTAAAAAAAGAAAGAAAGAAAGAAAAATGCCGTGGATGAAAGTAGTTGAACTTTGGAATGGATCTGGAG